TAATTCAGAACATACAAGATGCAAACAGAACTAACTTAACATTAGGAGAATAGTGAAATATATGTCCGACTAGAGTCTAAGTTTGTAGGAGAGATTAAGACTGACAGTGAAATACTGAGCAGCTGAAGTCACAGGGTACTTTAACTTAAAACTGAACCTTCTTCATTCAAAATAAGCATGGATAAGTTATCACAAAGTGCCGGGTCAGATATCAGGGCTTCACAAACATGGATATTGTGGCATAAACACCACAAAGTATCCATCATATTAAACTGACTCTTCAAAAATTTCTGCAATGTCAAGTGAGTCTTTGTGACAAGGGAGCAGCCTAAAGAAGCTTTTAACAGTTAAATATGCATACTTTGTGATTATTCCACGTGTTTGTGAGGCTCTGTTTTATAATATTATAAGAGACATTATGCTTTCGTCCATCTGGCGCGACCTGGTTGCACCTCACCTCATAATTAATGTTATTCTTTCTTACAGCACAGTCCAGGACTCTGTTGATCGCTGGACTTCTTTGTGGAATTTTACTGATTCTTCTTCTTCTTCTGCTGTGTTACATCAAGCTGTTAAAAGGTGAGACTTTTTCTTTCCCATACGAGATTGATTATGATCCCATTATTATCTAATTATTCAGAATCACAGATGTATCCTGAACACTTCATGTAATGTCACAGCACCAGAAAAAGTAAAAGAAAAACATGTACTTGTCTTTTTTACAGATAAATCTTTTATCAGGTTGGTTCAAATCTCTTACTTCACATTTTCAACAAACCAGAACTACAACCTGTGTTTCTTATCAAATTGAATGTTTTACTATATTTTATTACTATATTAGGACTCAGAGGACAAACCAGAGCTCTGCTATGAAACACAGGATCAACCAGAGTGAAGCTCAACACAGCCAAAACACTTCTCTCCAAGGTCAGCTTTAACCATAACAATTTTGCTATTGTTGCTTTATTTATTCATTTATTTATTGTCAAATTGTGAACTTTGACTCTGATATTTTTATTTAAAAGATGATCAAATTCATATATAGAAATGTTAATGAAAATATATCACTGACTTGTTTTTGCAGGTGATGCTCGTATATATGAATCAATCGGAGACTACGATGACAGAGAAAAGGGTAATGCATTTATAGTTTCATATAAGTATGCAGACTCATTGTGATTATGTTCCATTTTTATGTATTAATTCTCCATTTTAGCAGAATGCGGGGATTTCACATATTCTTTGATTGAGCTTAAAAACTTCACTAAGAAAGGTAAGAGTTCAAGTTAATTCAGTTCAATTCAATTTTATTTATATAGGGCTAAATCACAACAACAACTGACTCATTGACCCTACAGTAAAACAGAGAAAACCCAAACAATCAGATGATCTGAAAGCCGAAGGCTCTGCCTTCCGTTCTACTTTTAAATATCCTAGGAGCGACAAGTAAGCCTGTTGTCACAGTAAACTGAGGACTCAAGTGCAGGACTCCAATGCTTGGAAGAATACAGAGAATTTATTTATAATGCTCCAAGTGTATGCACAATAGTGCAAGGGTAGGTGTTTTATACAGGAGTGCATGGGTAGGGACTCTAAGAAATCCAAGGAAGGAAGAAAACAGTGAAATCACTCTTGCTCCTCTTCAGCCACACAACATAGACTGCCAGCCACACTCCACTCGCTCATGAAAATCCTCTCTGGGAAAACAAGTCCAGATAATCTATAAGAATATATCTATATCTATAAGAACAAGAATATACAAACTAGTATGAGGGCAAAGAATCAACAAGAACTATGAACAGACTTGAGCTGGGGCTACACTGACATGAGTCATACAACGATCCAGCGATGAGTAGCTTCATTTCTTCAGCTTAAGTAGTGGCAGGGATAGGCAGGTGTGTGGGCTTTGTACAGAGCCCCAGATCCTGTGGAAGTGGATTTGTAAGTGTAAAGGTAAGAATGTCATCCTATTTTACCGTGATGAACTGTCCATCCTCTCATAGATGACAGCCTGTTGTACGCAGATGCCACCTACAGTAAGGCTGAATGTAACAGTGACAAAAGTAAGCAAAGCAATAAAATAGGTACCATATTTTCTTCTCTTTTACATTTCATTTATCCATCAAGGAAAATTATATAAATGAGTAAAGTTGTCAGTTTAAAGTAAGATGTTACTAAAAGTCATGTTGAAAAAAAAATGTTTTTTTTATGTGCAGGAGAATCAGCCACTGAAGCAGCCGACGAAGGGGTTTATTCTGAAATCAACCCACAAACACAAGGAGCTTTCATGTTGTGACTGTAATGGTTATCAAATAGGTTTTAAAGAAAGTAAATGCATTACCAAATCACCTTTAACCATTTAATAATCATGATTATGTATTTTCAAAAGAAGCAAAAGCAGATGAATGCAGAACAGAATTTACTTTATTTCACATGAATTTTACAAAGCATTGAAAAAAGAAATGAGAGGAAAAAAGTTTTTCCCCTTTTTTATAAATCAGTTTAAATGAGCTTTATCTAAAAGTGATGATGTGGCTTTAAGTTCACTTTTTTTTCACTTTCACACGAGCAGTTATTAAACTGCATTATTGATACATGTATATGTACTGATTTTCTATGTCTTTTCTAAATATTTTTGTTTCCCTGAATGGATTAAGTATCATTTGAAAAATTATATATTTTTTTAGTTTTACAAACTTCTAAACTGCAGGCAGGTTTTTCATTGTGTTATCTGATTATGTGTGCCATATAAACACACACTTTATATACTGTGACATGTTGAGATCGGGTGAATGGAGTCCCCCGCTGTGCCTCTGGAACAGTGTGTTTCACATTGAGTTTTAAAGAAGCTGTGTTTACTGTATTTGTTACAGTAATAAAGCTGCTATTGTTCCAATCTTGTTTTCACTTACAGTTATTGTTGTTGGGTTGGTGGAATAGAGATGTTACATCATGAGTGAAGTTATGTGCAGAGTTAGAGCCCTTTAGAGGCAAAGTTTGAGTGTCTTTAAATGCTTAATAAAATCGTGTCCCCCTTTGTCTTCATATATAGTGCAGCTGTCCATGGGACTAAAGTTTCACTTCATTCAAAGTTAAATAAGATTAAATTTGCAGCCTTCATTCTATTTTTGACTTCTACTCGTTTATGTTTCACGTTTCTGTTGTTGTATAAATGAAGGAGGACAAATAAAGAAACTAAAATAATTCATAGTGTTTTTATTATTATCCAAGCTTCACATCTTCATTACTCAAAACTCACAAACAGTGTAGAAGCAGGGCAAAAAAAAAGAAAAATCTGTACTAAACCAAACATTAAAACAAATCAGAAAAAAGATTGTTTTAAGAAAATAGATTTATTTTTAGAATTTATGATGATTGCCCCGTAAACCTAATAACTCTTTGGGCCACCCTTAGCAGCCCCGACTAGAATCAAGTGTTTGCGATAACTGGCAGGGAGTCTCTCACAGCACTGTGGAGGAATTTTGGCCCACTCATCTTTGAAGAACTGTTGTAATTCAGCCATATTGTTGGGTTTTTTGAACATGAAACACGTTTTTAAGGCGCCTCAATTGGATTCAAGTCAGGACTTTGATGGGGCCACTCCAAAGTCTTCATTTTGTTTTTCCATGCAGAGGTGGACTTGCTGCTGTGTTTTGGATCAATGTGCTGCTGTAGCTGTGGTTTTTTTTTTTTTTTTTTACCTTGATGATCTGAAGTATTTAAGTGTGACAGACATACAATTTAAAAAAAAAAAGGAAATCAGGAAACGGGGCAAACACTGTTTCACACCACTGTATCCATCTGATCAATCCTTATTGTTTAACAAGTGGGCCAGAACAGGGAAGGCAGTGACCGCCATGAAATCGGAAACAGTGAACAAAAAAATGCAGTGGATGTTTTTTCACTGTTTTTAACACTTTGTTTCACTTAAGCTCTTTGTATCTTACAAAAACTTACTGTTGCGAATCATTAATGTGATTGTCAGTGATGACAAGGTTGTATGAACTTTGAGAGACGTCTGAAGTTTAAACATGCACAAAACTGCAAACTATTTTACTTGGAAAAGTCTTGGAAAACAACAAAAGTGAGTGCAGTGCTGAAGCCTCAAACATAAAAAATAATGTCTTTCTGTATTTCTTCAGCATCTTTTTGATTATTTTATGGCATCTTTTGCTAATCTGTGCTGTAAAGCAAAGGTTTCAGTAAAAGAAACATATATAGAGAAACATATAAAGATATATCGTCAGCACTATGAGCCTGTTTTGCAGATGTTTATTATGAGTTTGTTTCAGGTCCATAAAGAGAAATTAATTTTTGTAAGCATAAAAAACACCAAAACAAATAACTTGACTCTGTGAAGATATTCGACTTACCAAAACTTCTTTACAAAATGAAAAGTGTTTGTAGCTCCAAAAAACCAAAACTGTTATGATTTGAATTTAAACATTAAACAGGTCACTAAAGGTTAGTGTTTACTGTGAACCATTTTTAGGGCTCTGTCTCTGATTGTGATTATAAGACCTATCGGATGCACTTCAGTCTGCAACCACTTCCATGTCACACGTGGACTTGTAATCTATATCTGAATCAGATGTTCCTATAGTGATTTGGTCATGCCTGTCAGTTGTGGCTGCCACAGTGTCACGGTTGTTGGGTTTTTCTGTGTTTGTGTATTTATATTTGAGATTGGGTCGCTCTCTAGGTTTTATTGCTTAATGATTTATAAGGCCTTGATTACATTAAATTGCAAACACAGAAAGTTGGAAAAGTCATTCTTCTCTAAACTGTATGACTTCATTGTTGGTAGAATTCAGTTGAGAGGGCCCACTGACCTTTTTGAATGAGCATGCAACACCAGTGCCTGTCCATAATACAGAGACCGTCTTCACACAATGCACTGCTTAAAGTCACATTGAAAGGTGAAGGGAACTCCTGAACGCCACACAGGTCATCACTACATAAACTAAATATAGCTACAACAAATTTGTATCAAAGTGGCAAAAAAGCAGCTTCTTAAAAATTATACAGTTAAACTTTAGCTCATGTGATGTTATCCACAACCATATTTACATCACTCAACCTGTCATGAAAAGGGATGCACTGTACTGTATGAAATAAATAACTGTACTACCACAAAAGCCACAAGTAAGAGTTTAAAAAATTGGCGAATGATGTTGCCGTTACCCAGCAAACCAAGTTTGACCCCAATAACAAGGTTTGAAATATGAAAATCTTCATTTCTTTGTCTGCAGCAACACAATTTATGCATTGTTATGAACTCCACTGGGGATGACTTGTGACTAAACTTTAAAAAGTGACCAGCAGATGGCAACAAACCTTAAAAGCATATGCATAGATTTATGCTTGAACTATCATCAGTACATGTTACACTGTCAGTGTCAAAATACCCCTTGAAATCTGTCACCACAATCCTAAAAAACAAACAGAAATATGGCATAGACAATTTCACATTTTAAGATTCTCTGAAGGTTTTCCTTGATATGATCCACAATGATCCACACTGATGAATACAAAATCTATCTCAGATGATATTTCTCAGATTGGACCAAAACAGCCTCAGTATGCAAACTTTGTAGCACCTGTGCAACTGTACAAAAAAATTATACTTAATTAATAAAAACATGTTTCTGTATTTTGAGTCTCTTTGAGAAAATTTCAGGCCAAAAATAATAAAATTTGGCGTGTTTGACCTAAATTTGAACTGAACTGAAGGTAAAGGTTAAACCATTAGCATGCTGTGTTAAAAATTAATTTAGCAACAAACGTTCATAAAGGGAGGGTTTTTTGTATTTGTTGTATCTATTATTCTGAATTTTTAAGATGTGGAGGCTTCCAGTGGAAAACACATCATTCATAAAAAAAAGTTGGCAAGACTGTGGAGCTTTCGTCAGGCTTAGCAACTGAAGGTGTGACTGCAGCAACATGGAAATATGGAAGAATAACAGTGGCAGAGAAAGATGAGGGCGTTTCTAAACATTCTCCATTTAAGGACAGATGAGAGCTGAACCCTAAAGATTTTACTTTAAAGGGAACACCGGCTGTTAAGACATGTTTGCACTAAAATATGCACTGTGCTTTCAAAAACATATATGTGGTATTAAAATATGACATATGTTTTCCTTTTAAGCGCATTTTATATAAAACTGATTTACCAGTAGGTCGCCATTGTTATTTACTTCTCAATGCACTCTGGGTAGTGACGTCACACAGTTGCACCGCATCGAGTTCACAGTTAGCAGAGCACTGGAAATGGCTTCTATTCAACCTTTCCAGTTTGAACCAGAGCAATCCGAGAGAGAGAATGAAAATAGTCAACCAGTGCTTAGTTTAGATGAAGATGAAAACAATCCGTGACACGAGGACACGACAGTGAGGGAAAACTACTGGTGTCTATGCTTGCAGAGTGAGGGTCACACTGCAAGTTCAGGGTAAGACACAGGGTAAGGTCATTAAACAAACATCCTGATAACATTAAGTGAGCGATCAATAAATGATAACCTACAAGCTTAGGAGGTTGGCTTGTGTTTTCTGTAAATCCTCATTAATTTTATAAATATACCCTGATTTAATACACAGATTAAAAAGGTATTAATGTGATATTTTATATTTTGGTCTTTGACCTCTTGACTGCTTATTGCAAATAAATGTTATTTTTCAAAATATTGTGTGTTCTTTTTATTTACTAAACTTGACCTGACTGTTAAACTCTTGTCCTCTTGCTCTTCCTATCTTAGAGCCCATAACTAAGCCACCCAGAAGGCTTCAAACAAATTTTGCATTGTTCTGCTAGAGTGTAGCTCAACCGGCAGTGTCACCTTCAACTGGACTGTAGGGAGTCAAACACAAACGGGGTCCAGGCTGCATCACATTATGAAGAAGGAGGATGGAGAAACCCCTTTCACATGCACAGTTTCCAATCATGTCAGTGAGAAGTCTGCATTTGAAACCATGACGTGCAGCAAAGATAATGGTATGTGCAGCATGATTATAGTTTTGAATCCTTGCATCTTTTTTTTTTTTTACTTTTAATCATATTTTTAGTGACCAGAACTGACAATGATAGATGAGACGTAATAAGCAACTGCAATTCCAAGAAACTCGGGATCCTGTTTAAAACTTAAGTTAAAACAAATTAGGCAGTTTGAAAAATTAATAAACCCATATTCTATATGGGTTTATTATCATATTCTTAATAACAGAACATAGAAGCATGTCAAAAGATTCAATTGTGAGATGTTAATATTTTATTAGAAATATTAGTTTAACAAAAGGCTGGAAGTGTGAGTGACACTAAAGAAAAACTGGAGGAGCATTGCAACTTCTTCCTTTTCTTTTGGCTGCGCCCTTTAGGGGTGACGACAGCCAATCACGTTCCTCCATCTCACCCCGTTTCAGCTCACCTAATTTAGCTAATTTGTGAACAGTTCAATAACATTGTTATGTTTAACGTAAAGTACAAGTTTTAGAGCAACATATGCTCCCACACAGGCAAAAGGTGCAGCCGCTGGTCTCCTCAGTTCCCAGATGTTATTGGACTGTTGTTAAAAGAAGAGGGGATGCTACACAGTGATAAACATGGAATTAGGGTTTTATCTTTATTTAATATATTATTACTATTTATGATTACAGAGTCCAGCTCTTCTTCCCCTGTCACTGTCATTGTTGGGCTGTTTAATGGAGTTCTGCTCTGGAGATGCTAAACCAGGTATAGTATGAAACTGTTGATCTGTAAAAGCTTTTGCATATATGTGGATAACATTTTTATTTTAGTTGAACTATCAACTAAATGCAATAATATCAATTAGATTAAAGATCTTGTCAAGAAACAGAGTCGAAAAAAGATTCTGACATGTAAAAATAAAGGTTGAATAGCTCTTTGAGAATGTTCTGATGCTTCAGGTAGTACGTAGGATGTCCTTTGGCAGTAATATGTGACACATAGTGTGTAATAGCATTAATAGCTAACAGCAATTGTGCAGCACTGCTATTCTTGCCTTCCTTCATCGCCTAACAGTGAAACTTAGAATTATTTTTCAAAATGTACGAAGTAGTTACAAAGCACAAAATGTCTTTCTAATGCTTTCATATCAGAACAACCTTCCTCAACAGTGAGCCTCTCAAATCATCTGATCAAATCAAGTGACAAACAGGATTTTGAAGTTGTAGCACATAAACCTGGAAATAGCCTTCAGTTGAATAAATCTGTTAAATATTAACCTTGTGCTAAAAACTAATTTATACTTTGACGATTAGCATGTTCTCATATATTGTCTACCGGTACTTGTTTTAGTTTCCCTGGTCACATGGCCTTTAATTTCCACCATAGTTTTACCGTTATGTGTGAAAGAATGTGCTGTGACTTTGGATGCGTACACGTGATATGTGGAATTTAATGCTTCTGTTTGCTATGGAAAGGAAATCAGGTGGCCACTGTCCACCCACAATTTACAGGAAATTCTATAAATTCCTTTAAGGGATGTAGGGCTGGGTATCGTCACTGACTTCTATTGCTGATTCAATTCTGATTCACAAGGTCTCGATTTGATTCAATTCCGTTTTGACTCAGAAATACTATAATTATGATCATTTATCAGTACATATCCTTATTTTTATATCTATGTAGGCTATAAAAACAAAGCTGACACTTGTGAGACTTCATCAGAGGTGTAAGTATCACAGCAGATGCCTTCATGTCAAAGTCATTGAGGATAAAACACAGAAAAATATAAGGGAGATTTTCCTCACCTGGCTTTTTATAGTACTGCCTTAAAAATATTCTGCCGTAGATCAACAATGGAAGAAAACCATGAAACAACATGTGAAAATTCCCCAATTCTGCTGAAGTGAAGCAGAGCAAAGTTACAGAGGTTTTATTAGAGACACAGCTAAGTGTTTTGCAATTTGGCATCATTTGTAAAAACTGAAATTTCACTATGCACAAAGGTAAACTGGTGTGTAATAAGCAAGCAAATAATACAGAAAAAAAGAGATTTTTGACTATTGAAGTACACTGTGAGAGAGCAGTGCAGGAAGTGTGATTTTTATCGTGGTGGCAGCAAAACTGCCAAAGTGAGAGGGAATTCATGACGATGTTTATCAAACCCTAACTGACAAAAAAAGCACAAAAACTATGACATATGCCACAGGATTAGAAGGTTATTGGTCTATCTTCTTTCCATGATGTGTCAACAGACTAAACTTTGATTGTAAGAGGAAGAGGAACAGCAGGATAAGTTGTGATCAGTGATACTGACTGACAGTTTCTTGGTGCTGTAGTGCTTTCTTTGCTTTGCTGTTTTTTAATACATTGAACAATACATTACTAAATATTTCAAATTAAATGTTAAGATTTAAGAGTATAATTACAAACAACTCATGAAATTGAAATCATGACTTTGTTTTGAAAGATAAAGTATTTATTGTCATATATATTATATATTTATAGTTTATATATTTTATTCTGACTTGTAGGTAATGACTGTAGTGATGATTAAGAACACATATCAGGCCCTGAGTATGCTGGACTAGGTATAGATTACATTATATTAAAAATTAAATAAACATCCATCCATTTTCTGCTGCTTGTCCTTATTACATAAACATTACATATTAAATTTAAAAATATTTCATTTCAGGTGGACCATTGATGGGGAGAATAGAGCTTCAATCTTGTTATTGAAGAAAGACAACAAGAGGAAAATATCTAAGGAAAAAAAAAGAAATTAAAAAGAAAATTATTCTCCGGTGCAGTTTATGAAAATGGTTGCATTATCAATCAGCCTCATGTTTTTTCATATAATAGAGAAAAATAAATATTATAACAATGCTAACATGTTAAATTATGGTGGTCTATATGGCCCCAAATCTAATGTGTAAACGTGTATAAGTAATGCTACTGTATGAATATGTATTTGCAAGAGGAACTATGAGCTAGAACTATTGTATCCACATGAGTCGTGCCCACTAATATTGCTTTGTTTTATTAACAGTCCATAAATGTCTGGGAACTATGGAGACCAGTTTCTGAACTTTTGGGAGAAGGATGTTGTCCCATTTTTATTTACTACAATATTATAGTGTCAAAACTGCTCAATAATTTTGTTTGTTATAGTTTTCTTTTTATCTTGTATGAAATATTTTCCGTTGGTGAAAAGAGGCATGCCGTTTTCATAGATGTAATATATAGTTTTAGCATTGATTTACTGAGAAAAAGCATCTAAATGGGAGCATATGTTGCCCTAAAACCAACATATCCCTTTCAGTGTTGATGGTACTTTTCCAGATTTGCAAGCTGTCAAATCCATGCAACACTATACCGGTAAAGATGCAATTTTTAGAGCTGGAAGGGGTTCTCAGCCAATGCACTGGTTTCCATGACAGAAATGTGCCTGTTGTTAATCCAGTGCCACAGAAACTCCCTAAGATCATGGGTATGCAGTATGTCTTTATGAGATTTACTAATCATTACATTTAGTTTTTATTTGCATTTTACACATCATGCCAATATTTTCAGAGTTATGGTTGTATCACAGTATTACTCAGTGTGTTTGTTTTGTATGACCTTGAATCCTATTTGACTTGTCGGTGAAGGTTAATGATTGTAACTGTATCTGTTGGTAACTGTATCTGTATCAAGGCTCTTGAGTGGTGTGAAGACACCGAGGATAGCGCAGACTCTTGTATTGATTTTACACAGGTGGGAGTGACAGTGGTATTGTCATAGAAACAGGTATGTATACAGGTTTAGGTGTGTGTGTGTGTGTGTGTGGGGGGGGGGGGGGGGGTCGCTGAAAAGAACAGAAAGAAAATACTATATTATTAAGGTGTTCATATCAATAACTCAAGAATACACCAACATAAACACAGGTGGGAAATAAACTAACATCCCCTTTAATACTATAGGCCATATTACCCATGCCTCACGTATAGACTCACTGAGAAAACTAACACGGTGCACGGTTATACCCAACCACATGACAGGAGAGTTAGCTTAGCTTAGTTTAGCACCTATTAGCTGCACGGAAACATAGTCATTTCCCCACTAAACTCAGGCACAGTCCCAAAAACATCTTATTATCACTTATACTCACACATCACAAACTTACTTTGCTCATTAACGCACAATTCTCAAGGAATGACCAACTCCCTGCAGGTAATCTGGAGCAGAAAAGTCCCTGCCCATTGTCTCTCTCATACAAAGCGGTGGGGTGACCGCAAATCTCCGCAAAGACCCTCTCTGGCCCTGAATGACGCAGGCGACTGTTGACGTCCTGGACAAGCAGGCGGGTGACTGTGAATGTGCCCTGTACTTGTTCTGTTTCTTGACGCACTGTTCAGTCATACATTATCAGTGCTGAATCACTTCCTGTCATCTGGAGTGTACTTAAAAATGTGTCTTATGCTCTGTGTCTTTAAAGCTTGGCTGGTCAGCATGGCGTCACTAGGGTTGCAAAGCTTCTTTTGAAATGTCACCAAATATGTTGCTGTGATGTCTCAGGGTTTCATGACATGTGTTTCCCTGAAAGGCCTGAATGAGCGTCCAAACAGCTCAGTTGATTCTGCTGAATGATGAGTGTTCATGGTATGAGCAGAAAGAAATGCTGTCATTCTCTCCACTTCCTCATATTTAGGGGAAAAAAGTTTCATAATATCTGAAAAATCCCAAGCCAAAGAACCTCAGAACATTTAACTATGTTCACAATCTTAGTTTATGTTGTCAGTGTGTTTGAGTTGCTTGTTTGTTCAAGTAAAATTGGCTTATTTTTCCAAAGTCAGTTTGTTATGTGAAATAAATGGATTTGGACTAGTGCATGGACTAGTGGAGTCAGCTCATTAGGTCAGCAAAGTCATCCTTTTCCTCGAATGTAGTCTAGATGAAAAAAGAAAATGTGCACATTTTATTTATATACTATATAGAGCTATGAAGAAGCAGCACGAAGATACTGTAAACAGATTTGACAATCCACTGAACAAAGTTTCACTCTAGTCTATCGCTCTAGACCAAAACCATTTCCTTTAAAAACAGGACTGATCATGGTCTGCTCTTTTCAGCATCTGTGCATCTCAGTATTCATGTACAGTACATGCAGAGTGGTGACTGTGGTGAAAGTGACTTTATTCACCACAAACATGTCAGCTGTAGCCAGTGCTTGATGATTCCTCTTGTATGACAGAGCAAAACTGGGGCTTCTTTAAATGTTTAGCTTATGACCGCTTCTTCTGCTTCTACTTTGATTGAAACCTCCCCCAATCTCAGTTATTTTTAGGTTTTTTTTTTTGTGGTTACTTGTGAAGACACAGTTTGACACATGAAAAGAGGAAACAGAGGTTGTTCCTCTCCCCACAGAGATGGCTGCTGGACGACGTTACCGTAGCTTCATGCACAACATTGTGCTGCTGCTCTGGGTCTGTCTCTATAGTAAGTACACCTCTGCTTCCAGATGTTTGTGGCATGTGTTGTATTTGTTGCCTCATGAACTCTGGTACATAAGTGAGTTCAGAAGATAGCTGCAGCATTGCCATTTTAGAGTATGGTTGTGCTAAAGTATTTATTATTATTCTAACTGCTACAAAAAAAACCAATTATCTATAGCAGACATGTTCTTTGAATTCTTGAGAAACAGCTTCTGACATCTTATTTATTTATTTTTATTCATTTGCTTTTCTATTTATATGAAAATTACAAAATTATGATTTCATGTTTGTCCACAGAAAAAATATTTTTGCTATGCTTAAATTTTTGTTGTGCCAAGGCAGTCATATCAGAAATGTCACTTATGTATGATGATGATCTTCTCATTGTGTCAAAACATTTTTTTTTGTCTGATTTGATTGTTTTTACGTTAATTATCACACTTTGATGATACGGTTTCAGGCAATTTAGACCCACTAACATGTTGAAACTTTCATTTTTTGTATGTTTTTCAGATGTTGAGACTTCCAGTGGAAATCATGTCATTCACAAAATAGTTGGTGAGACTGTGGAGTTTTTGTCAGGCTTACCAACTCTAGGTGTGACTGAAGCAATGTGGAAATATGGGAGAATAAATATTGCAGACAAAGATGTGGGTGTTCTTAAAGGATCTCCATTTAAGGACAGGTCACAGCTTAACCCTGAAGACTTTACTTTAACAGTGAGAAAACTGACTCTTCAAGATTCTGGTGATTTCATTTTTGTCTCAGCGGTGTTTTTCAAGCAAAGGCCTTCAGTCAGCATCACTCTGCAAGTTCATGGTAAGAGACTTTGTTTTTCTTTTAAAAAAGGTTCCTGATTACTGTTAATGAAAAGAAACCCTGTGAGCCTAAGAGCTTGTCTTTCTCCTTTAGAAAAAGAGAAGTAATCTTACAAGCAGCTTTACTGCTGGGAACTTAAAGAATAAACTACATTAAAGGCAGGACCTAATAACCTGAAAAACAGGTACTTACAAGAGAAGCACGCAGGAGGACGGACTCATAACTCGAGGAAGAACACAGCCAAGTGGAAATTAATATTGGCAATATATACACACAGTATAATGAGGGGAAAAGAAACATGTGGGAGTACATCCAGGGCTAATTATAGATAACGAAACAGAGGAATTAGAACTAGACACAAGACACGAGGAAGAACAGACACTAAGATAAAATAGGAAGAAACAGAAACACCAACTGGACACAAACACAAAAAGGCAAACAAACGTGGAAAGAGGACACATCAGAAACATTAGACAGACACGATAAATATAATAAAACCAAGATACCTGGACTTACCTAGAATTTACCCAGAGAAGAAAAACTTACAAAACCCTACAATATTAAGCACATTGAGGCGACTGTTGTTGTTTGCAGCTATATAAGTAAAACGGAATTAAATTAAGTATAAACAGACTGGAGGAGATAATAGTGACACAGGAAGAATAGGAATCACACAAGTAAACTCACAACCCTCAGTCCATGACCCAGCGAGCATGACAACATGACACAGTAGTGAACAATACTTATCTGCACTTAATGATGTTAGTTATTGTTAAGTGGCCTAAATTTACATAATGCATTTGCTGAACTCTGCACAAACATCTACTTTCATCTGTGATTCCAAAGGTGACCTGACACGCTTTCTGTCTCCTGTTTTCTCATTAGAGCCCATAACTAAACAGCTTGTCATTAAAATCAGTTCTACCTGGATTTCCTCAAATGAATCATGTAAAGTTCTGCTGGAGTGCAGCACAACTGGTGATGTCAGCTACAAGTGGATTGTGGGAAACCAAACACTAACTGGTCCCAGGCAACAATACATCATCAGGGAGCAGGATGGAGAGACCAATGTCACCTGCACAGTTTCCAATTATGTCAGTGAGAAGTCTGCATTTCAAACAGTGAACTGCAGCAAAGACACACACACAAATAAAACAGGTATGTGGAGAATGACTGAGGTTGTGAATACATGTAACTGCTCTGTTTATATAATTTATTATTACCGTTTGTGATTTCAGAGTGCAGCTGTTCTTCTTCTCTTCTCGTGTTCATTGCTGGGCTGTTTACTGGAGTATTGATCACTGTTCTGTTGCTCTTTCTACTTTACTGCATAAAGTCAAAGGGTAAGAGCTTTTGTTGTTACTATTAAAAATGTTCTCTTAATCTCCTAATCTCATAATACTTTCTTTTTCTACAGGTCTACGTCCCAAAAGGTGAGTGAAACTCATCAGCTGCAGTAATATATACAAAGATTTTTATTCTAGTAGTAATAACATATTTTAATTGTTTCAGACTCACACAGTCTGAAACAATCAACCAGGAAGAAAATCAACAACATGTGTACACAGCGCTTTCCCACGGTCAGGTCTAACACTGTTTATGTGCTTTCATCAGTAATATTATACTGTTAAAAATTATTAAGTGTTAGATCATTTATCAATGCTAATTATTGTGACTGAATCTCCACTGTTATTATCTTTCAGGTGACCGTTGTGTTTATGAGACAATGAGGCCTCTGAAGATGCTGGGCCAAGTAAAGTATGACAATGATGAGCCATGAAAGTAGCGGAATGACTCTGGGATTTCACGTAATTCAATTCATTTGAAATGTTTTTAATTTCAGGTAGATCAAAAATGCAGTAACATTAAGTCAGATATGGGGTGCTGCAGTATTTCACTGTTAATTTAGCATCCTCAACTGCTTTGGTGCAAGTCTGACATCAGAAAAGTCACTCTCACCAATAATAAGGGAGTTCTCAAATCCGTAATGCAATTTCCCCACATTCATTAGACTTTCCCATTGTTTTTGTGCACACAGCTTTTGTTTCTACACTTACTTCACTGCTAAAGATATCTGTTGATGCATTCTTCATCTAAATCCGACACCTCATCAAAACCTTTTGTACTTTTGCGAGTCACAACTCACTTACTGTCCAGCATTGCATTTGTGCGTTCTGTCAGTAACATGCTGTCTGTGGTAGCAATCAAATTGCTTTTCGGTTGAAACAAATATGAACATGTTGTCAAAAGAGGTCTAATTATAATAAATACATACAATACATATCAGTCTTGTGTCCACAAAACTAAATGCATCAGTAAACTATAGTCCAATAAATTCATGCTACATACATTTAGTAGCAGTTAAATTAGTAGGCTTGTTCATGGTTCATTAATGCAAATATCTAATCATCCAAACATGAGTCAGCAGTTTAAAGCATTCAGGCATGTAGACATGGTCAAGACTTCCTGCTGAAATTCAAACTGGGCATCAGGAAGAAGGATCAATGGAAGTTGTTTGGTTATTGGTGCCAGGCAGGCTGGGCTCGGTATTTCAGACATTTCCCACACAGCCATCTCTAGGATTGAGCTCTGGAGATTTTCATCAACATCAGTCCTATAAAAAAATTAAAATGCCATGCTGTCTCATCAGATTGTCATTTGGTGTCATTTATAATCAGTGTTGGGTAAGTTACTTTAAAAAAGTAATTAATTAGTAATTACTAATTACTTAGTCAATATTGTATTTAAAATACTTATCTAATTAATGTGTCAGAAAAGTAACTTAATTACTAAATAAGTAATTTAACTAAATACTTCTTAAAATCCCTATGAACCTTGAATGAACAAACAATAGAAATTAAACACTTTAAATAATAAATATTTGTTTTTTAAAGACGGAGACTCTACAGTACGCAGCGGTAGCATCTCTTCCACAATGTAGCCTGCAATCATTTTTTTAAGCTCACCTTCAGACGCTTTCTATGCTGCTGAAGTAAAATCACGTTTTGCCTGCTTGGCAGGAGTTGCCACGGTGTTGTCCATGGATGATGAACAAGGATCACTCAGAAGTGTTCGTCTATGCTCTCGTGTCAGGCGCTTCGGTAGATTACTTGTGCTATTAACAGCGGCCGATAGTTTTTACATATTACTGTAATATTCTTGTCTGCTTGTTTCAGAAAAGTGAAGAGATGGGAATATGTCCATTTCATAAAACAGCCAATCGCTTCGAAATGACGTGCAGCTGCACTTCAGCGATGTTAAAGCGGCAGAGTTTACTTCTACGTTTAGAAGATAAATTATTGAAATTAAATAATGATTTTCAGCGAGTTTAATTATTTTACAATGTAACGTAAGTACATTGTAAGTAACTGTAATTAAAATACCTTAAAATGAACAGTAATTAGTTGCTCTACTTTTTCAGTGGAAAAGTAATTTAATTACAGTAACGCGTTACTTAGTAATGCATTACACCCAACACTGTTTATAATGCTGCCACATTTTAACAATAAAGTGTTTAACAGTGTGGCACATATTCTGCTAGGCTATTCATTTTCCTGGAGAGTTATTTTTATTATTTTCCATAATATACACTGTGACAAAACTTTCCTTATTTTCTTAACTTTTATTGTGTTTGTTTATTAGTTTAATTTTCTTTCTAATTCACAGATATTGAAGCCAAAACTACTCACAGAAAGCAAAAAGCAGGATCATGACAGCAGGACATAGAAGATGATGAATGACAGGGATCTGTTTTTCTAAAGGAGCCATGGACAGCAGGAAAACAAGGAGAGGGGGGTAATTTAGCCATGTCAGACAGCGATTCATTCATCATCAGGAAACTGTTATTTTGTTTTGTTTTTAATTTAAACATGTGATGTTTAACTACTTTTCCGATCTGTATTTGAAAGAAAAAAAATAGTGTAAAATAATGACTTTTTGCTATTAGTCCAGTAGCACATTCTTTAATAAATACATTAACTGATTTATCACAGCACAGACGATGCTGTTTTATTGAGTTTTATTTCAACTTTTCTGAAGCCAGTTACAACAGAACTGGATCTGAAGTGCAGAATTTCTGCACTTTTCCTTAAGACTTGATAATTCATTGACACTGATGCTATTTAATCACGCTATCTGGGAATGTAAAATGAACCAGGAGACACCCACAAGAAGATAAATGGCTGAAATCCATTCAGTCATATAGATTACATGATGGCAAACATGCAGAAACATGCGTGCAGGGTTTTGTTCAGAAACATTTTAAAACCATCACCTGAAGTCAAGATGGCTGAAACAGTTACTGACTTGAACTGGTTCAGAAGAAAAATGTGGTCATTTTTAGAGATGAATAAAAGAAAGAGAAATACCTGTCATAAAAATTGTAGTTTTCCGGAAAGAGACAAAAAAAAAACATAATTACCATGAATGTGTTCAACCATAAGAAAACCCAGAATCACACCAACGTGAGAAAGGACAGATAAACCACATCTAATTATGTGTCACGGTTCTGGGTCATTTTGACCCTGCTTTTTTAGTTTCTTGTATGTTGGTGTGTTTCCAGATTATGCTCATTATAATTATGTTCTGATTCTTTAGCTATCCGATGATGATTATTATTATTATTATTTCTGGGTTAGGTTTTGTTCTCTTGCCCTCATGTTTAGTTTAGGTTTTGCCTGTGCTTAGTCTTCTCTGCCCATATGTCCCTCTGTCTGTCCATGATGTCTCGTCTGGTCCTCTGTGTCTGTTAGTTTCCTGTTTTATTCTGAAGGTCCTTGTCTTATGTGAGTGTGTTCAGTTTACGTTTCCCCTGTCTCGTCAGCTGTGATTTCTCCCAGGTGTGTTCCCCTCCTGTCGCTCATCCCTTGTTACCTGTTTTTGCCTGCCTGTTAGTTTATATTTTCCAGTTTAGTTAGTCTTCTGTTTGATCAGCAGCCTGCAATAAAGCAGTTTATTCTGAGTTTACTTTCGCCTCCGTGAG